TTTATTGTTCAGTGGGCCTTACCTGGGAAAATGAAACAGTATTTAAAATATTTTCACGGTAAAAAAAGATAGTTTATAGTTTAGTTCATATTTTATGAGAGATGCTGTGACATTGTAACAGCAAGGCACTGGGAGAACAAGCTCCTTTCTCGAAATGCCTTCACGCACGTCTAAATGAATAATCTCACGGATCGATGGAAGCCAGGCGCACGGCTTAATGCTGCTGATTGGGAGACACTGAACACTCAAACTCAGGAGAGGTCCCTAAAGACTGACTTCGAACACCAGCAGTTAGCAGCTTCCAAAATCTGCTCGCAATAATGCTCACCTCATCACCCCCAATTTCCCCTAGTGCATATGATGCATTCCATAGACGCGGTTTGGTGTGCATGCGAGTGTTCGATCGCGTATGTACTGTGTATCGGTGTGTGTGTGTGATTGTGTGTTGTAGCAGCGTGGGGAGTGGTAATGCAGCGTTTAGCGCGCTGCCCTAAGAACTCGGCGGGTCGCGAGTTCGATTCCCGCTCAGGGCCAATACCAGCAACGGTTATCTGAACCAGTCATGGTGCCTCCCCTAGGTCGACTCGGCCTCAAATGAGTACCTGGAACGGTGTATAAAAATCGACACTGGGAAGACAAAGACGGCCGGGCGTGGTGCTGGCCAACCCACCCCATCGTGTGACGTGCCGGCTTTCATCGGTGTTCGCTAACAGCACTTGCCCCAACAGTCTGTTACAGGCTGTATGGGAGATCTTTGTCTTTGTAGCGGTGTGTGTGGGAAGCGGAGGCACGAGGGTTTATGCATCGTCGTCATCATCATCAGCCATTGTGTATCTACTGCTGGACGAAGGCCTCCCCCATGCCGTCACTATTCCTCGCGTTCCAGTGCGGCACACAAACCCATCTCATCGCTCCGTCTCCGCGGTGGGCCTGCTCTCTTTACGCTCCGTCTCCTTTGGCCGCGATTTACGCACCGCTCCATTAACCTGGCGACATTAGTTTGATTCCCAGCCAAGGTTAACATCATTAGCGAATGATATCTGATCCGATCCAGCCCTCCCTCCCCCGCTCCCAACGGGATGCATGCTGCCAGTTAGAATTTGTGTCAGACCTGGGGGCTGGGCTTCCACGAGGTCAACTCAGCCTGCAATTAGTACAGTAACGCAGAGAACAACACTCATGTCTGTTCAAGTCTCTTTAACAATGCAGCTAATGTCGTCTCTCTTGCACGTCTTTCGCACCGTACGTGGCCAACCGTGCCAATTCTGTAGTCCACTCGAGTAAATTAGCATCTCCAACAATGACCAATGAACGGTACGAAACAAACAAACGTACAATGAGAGAGAGAGAGAGAAAGAAATAGTCTGATGTATATTTCGTGAAACCACTCGCATGGGGACGGCGATGGACACGGATTGTGGGGTCGTGTGCTCTCAGCAACGAGCGCACTCGGGCACCGCACGGAGGGGCTTACAAGGCACCACGGTGGCGGGAATAAGTTAATTACCTCGCCTGGTATGCAGGAGGTCGTGGGTTAGTTCCCGACCCTGACGCCTGCTGCTGCTGCTGTATATTTGGAGTTCGCGAGAGACTTCACCGAAAGAACCAAGAATATAGTTTTAATACACGGCTCCCGTTGTAAAGGGGGCACCGATTCACCCCCCCCCCGCCCCGGCATTCAACAACAACAACAACCTTCAACTCCAAAGCGAACACCCACCTGGTCAGTTGTATAACTGCCCCCGGTTTTGGGTGAATTGATTGTTGGTGAAACCAGACCGTTGCTCAGTTGTAACGTTGTATCAGGCGTCAGTGTCGCGTGAGAACAATCGTGTAATCACTGACACACCCCGGCGATTCGATAACTCAGCAATTAATTGTTTGGATGAGCCGAGTTGTTCCGCAACAAGGGTTTCAAGCTGCTCACGTGGCTTTAAATAATGTAGCACAGCGCGGTAACCGTTGCACTACCACTGCACTACCGCTCCCCAAGAAGACAGACAAAGATCCCCCATATAGCCTTAACAGACTGTCGGTGCAAGTGCTATTAACGAGCTCCTATGCAGGCTGGCACAGCACGCTTGTGGGTGGGTCGCCAACACCACGCCCGGCCGCCTTTGTCTCCCCAGTGGCAATGTTTACACACTGCACCAGGTACCTATTTTAGGCTGAGTCGACCTAGGGTAGGCCCAGGACCGGTTCAGATAATCGTCAGTGGTGTTGGCCGTGAGTGGGAATCGAACTCGGATTGCCGGTTTAGTAGCTAAGCACGCTAACCGGTACACTACTGCTCCCCCACACACAGATACACACAGACCAGCAGATACTGTAATACATAGTAATATACTATCGATGGAATTACTCCCATACCCTGCATTGGGACAAATAAGCAGACACAGCCAAGCTTGCGACCTATGCTATCTGTCATGTTCTGTTTGCATTAACTGATGCAGTTCCTGTTTAAGCCTAAGCCACTTCGCAACATTATTTCTCCCTTATTCATTGTTCTTAGTTTCATTGCCATATACAAGCAATCAACCTGGACGTGCAAAGCAATGGCAATCTAATTACGCTCTGAAATCGGAGTAATATTTTCGGAATTGCCAGTGCCTGCCTTTGGAAATCTGATAATTAACTTCAGGCAAAATGGTCTCCCTGCTCAAACAACCAATGGAGCAGCATCCATCTGGTTGCCTACCCCTGCCCCAATACTGGAAATGTCACAATCCTATGGCGAGAAGCTATGCTTATTTAAACGCATGTGGTGGCCTCTGTTGACCGGTACTCACAATGTATCAGCCCCTGAAGGATGATGTGCTGATTTAACCGCTAAACGACTGACTTCCCACAAAGCGTTACTTCACGTATCAGTCCCTGACTGATGACCAGTTAAATCGGCCGCTGACCGCAGATCTGAGCTCGTGGCCTCCTGTGAGCCAAACGCGAATCCAACCCCAGTGCCACCCGGCTGGCTAACCTGAGAATACAATCACACGAGGTGGTGCAGCCACTGTGGGTGTCACATAGACGTCAGATACCCACGGCAGGTTTATACATGGCTAAGAGAACCCCCACCCCCTACTTCCACCTCCTCCAACATTCTGAACGAAAACCACGGCATTTTGGAGTCCACGTTTCCCTTCCTTCGGCAAGGTCACGTACTCAAAATGCTGATCATGCTGATGACGCAATCTCTAAATACACAATTTGCGCACGAGCAGTCGGCTCAGTGCTGAGTCAACAGTCGGATCAGGAGTTGGGGGAGATTTAAAATAATTTGCACTGCAGCAGAACTCCGCTCCAGCTCGGTGGCTCAGCGGTAGTGCGAGCGAGCGCGCGGCTCGCAATCCGAAGGTTTCGAGACCAAATCCTGCTTGGGGGTTGACTCAGCCCATCATCCCTCCGGGGTTGATCAAAAACTTGAGTGCCACTTTGTCGGGGAAGTCAACAGCGGTTTCCCTACGGATGGACTCATCCCTGCCGTGTGAATGCGGAATTCCCGCCGCTGGCTCAGGGCTGCAAACAAGATATGAGCACCGCTCCGCCGCTGGTCTGAGCATGACATTACTGCGACTTGAAAACTCAATTCTCGTCTGTGACTTTGCGGTGGTCCACGTTTGTAATCTAACCAACAGCAACCACCACCACCACCACCGGGAACAATTTTCTCGTGGCGATACCCCCAACGATCCACCGTGTGGTTGTGCCCCTGGCTCGCACGACGGCTACTCTGCTCTTCAACCCCGGCGGGCTCGCTAAGAGCAGTGCCCAGCGGCACAATGATGAACCAATGCCCCCTTGCTTTCCACGTTGGTCTCACGGAGCGCCCCCTGCCGCACTGCATTAGGCAAACAGTGGTGGAAGCCCCCTGCCAGCCACTCCAGCACCCCCCCCCCCCCTCCATCTCTCTCACCCCTGCACGGCCCGGGAGGCATACAGTGCGTTTGCAAAACATAATGAAGGCAAACGCTTCCATCTGGCAGCGGGGAACCACTGCGGAGCAGAATCGCGATGGCGCATGCTCGCGGACGAGCGAGTGGCGGCGATGCCTGCTCGCTCCATGGCCATGGTGGCGGCAGCGGTTTGGTGGCTGTGATAGCGTTGAGAGTGTGAGTGATCGTGGTGCTGCTGCTGATGATGATGATGAGGCTGGTGGTGATAATGATGCTAGTGTAGGTATTGAAAATGCTGATGACGATTCTGCAAATGTTAATTATAGAAAGAGTGTGGCATGATGATTATGATGATGACTCAGCAGAGCTGGCTCATTGCTCTTAAACATTCGCGAACCTGCCCACCTCTCTCTAAATCACCCTCGCACCTTACATCGCACGTTAAATTAATATCTGTTGCACAATCAACTGGATCTAAATGAACCAAAGGCTCCAGAAGCATAGTGGCTCTGCTCAAGGCGCCTTGCATAAGTTACGATGCCAAGCCAAACCATCGATCAAGAAGGCCTACGCGCTCACAGAAAGGAGTGGACTTGATGAAGTCATGCCATTCTCTACACGGTCCGCTTAAAGTGCAGCACATTTGGTGCATCAGTATCACCATCATCATCCAACAACGACGTTTCAAGGCATTAATCCCATCCCGGAAGATCTCTGTGTCTCACTCCTCACACTCACAGCTCACTGCTAATGTCGCTTCATCGGCACAAGGCATTCCCTTTTCCCCAGGACCAATTCCTCAGCCCTGGTGAATGTGGGCGGCACTGGTAGCCATGGATTTTTTTCTTCCGATTCCTGATATATCTGGATGTCAGATGCCTCCATCAATCAAATAACCTTCAATATCAACTCAAAACTCCACCGCTTCCGCCCCCACCCCCCGCCACAAAAAAATAGCATTTATCGCGATGAAAATTTTACTTTAAAGATGTTAAATATATTCTACTCGTGACTTTTAACTGAACGTCGTAGCACCGCTCCATCTCTACATGAGGATCGTGGACTCTCGGAGCATTGCTCAGTGACCGGCGGTCAGGCGCCACGTACCCGTCTGTGTCTTGGAAGTTGACGTTCGGTTTCTTGGTTGTGCCCAGGAGCTCTGCGAGACAGGGGGGCCGGTGGGGGGGGGGGGGTCACACAGAGATGCAAGTCCATTAGCGAAACCAAGTTAACCCTGACGACTCTTTTACACATTTGTTGTCAAGGCATGTACAGATCATTAATTTCGTTTTTTTTATATATATAACCGTCTCTCGATCGCTCAGATTTAACCCATTGGCGGTTTCAGGTGAAGTCCAAGATTGTTCTCCTCGCCTACAAAGGCCCTCAATGATGCTGCTCCCTCACATATACACGGGGCCTCCTTGGCCCATATGTTCCAACAAGGGCACTTCCAAGCGTGGCCGGTTGTGTGTGACCAAGGTCACGTCTCTGTACGATGATGATGATGATGGGTCACTGGGCCTTTTCTCGCGTGACCCCCAGGCTGTGGCATTCACTTCGACAGGACGCTCACTCGGCCTTGGTCCCCACTCACTTTATTCAAATCGTGCCTTAAGACGCCACTGAATTTTAATGGATTTCTCCCTCTTGAATAATTTGTTTCGCGGTTGGATTTTATTTGTGTATGCCTGCATGTGTTTTTTTTTCTCTCTGTTACAGTGCCTTGTGACCTCCGGTGAAAGATGATTTAGACGTGTAAAGTAATACTAATAATAACATTGATATATTTTGACTTAAAACTTTCGTGACTGCAGGAATTCATATTCTATGGTTATTCTAGATTTAAAGCTTTCGTGACTGCAAGGATCCATACTCTTTGTTTCTATTCGGTAAAGTCATGTAGGTAAAAAAATAAAACAACAAAAATCACGACGTTTCGGCCACAACACAAGCGGCCTTCATCAGGTGAAGGGATCAGGCTGTCTTGAGGACAGCGCTGGAGTGAAACACACGCTGGAGTGAAACACAGCCACGCTGTGTTTCACTCCAGCGCTGTCCTCGAGACAGCCTGATCCCTTCACCTGATGAAGGCCGCTTGTGTTGTGGCCGAAACGTCGTGGTTTTTGTTGTTCTATGGTTATTTCGGTAAAGTCACGTAGATAGAAAAAACACCAATTAAATAATGTGATATTTGTATTCACTTTATTTGTATTATTCTATTGTTATTTTTTTCTATCCACGTGACTTTACCGAAAGAACCACAGAACATTCATATAGTGCGTTTCATCAATAATCTCAAAGCGCCCGTACAGGACACAGCAGCAGCAGCAGACACTCTCCATCTCAGCATCAAAATAAAAAAAAGTATTATTATTATTGCTCTTCAACCAATAACTGTTTTTGGAGTTTGTACAAGTGAATTTTTTGTTTTGTTTTGCTTTCCCAATCGTTATTGTGGTTTAGGTGCCGCGGCACGACACAAGGCAATTCGCGTTCACGGCTCCGCGGCAGCGGGAGTGCACCTCGCTGGTTCAAAGAACGACAGCCCTTTGAGGTCACAGAACCACTCCCAAAGTAACTTGGAGTAGCCTGTACATCTAGATCCACACTCGGGAAACAACTTTTAATGTCGTGCAAAGAGTGTGGGGTTTTTTTTTTCTTCTGCATAGCAATCAAACCAATTGATTTAAAGGAATAAGTTGCAGATGATTTTCCGTGAAGTCAGACAACTCAAGCAAAAATAACAGCATTGAAATTAATTTAAATTAAATTTCATATATTTAAACTCGGTAAGCCATGTGAACTTCGTTATGCCTTTAAACAGGCACATGTGAGAAAAATCCTTAACAATGCGATATTTTATTTAGAATAGTTGGATACAGGTAATTCACAGTTTTCAGAATGTGGTTCTGACATTTGTACAGAGTGGTGCAGCGGTTAGCGCACTGCACTTTGAACCCAACACCCTGTCATGGCTAACATCATCAGTGGGGAGTGATATCTAAACCAGTCCCCTTCACCAGCCTGCAGTGACCACAGTGGTGAAGTATGGTCAAACAGCCCCCCATAGCTGACATCGCAGTGGGAGGCCTTAATCCAGCAGCAGCTTAACAAAGGGGGGTAAATGTGGCCCACTCTAGAGATTCATTCAATCACAGCTCTTTAAATTAGTCCCGTGGAATGGCACTGAAGCACAGCTCGCAATCTGAAGGCCGTGAGTTAATTCCATACTCAGGGGTCAACCCAGGCTGTCATCTTGTCAAGGGTCAACTACGTTCTGAAAAGTCAACAGAGAGTCGATCAGCGGATCAAACATGGTGCCGTAAAGCGTGGATACTCCCCCACCTCTTCCAAGACATCTAGCCAGCGTGGAAGAGTAGGCCAAGTGCCCTCTTGTCGGAGCTCTTGAGAGCTCCATCCAGTGGAGATCCTTCCACCACCAACAGCGGTGTGAGTGAGCATTGCAGGGCTGTACCTTCATATTTACCAACAGTGGAGAAACTATGAATGAACTAGACCCTAGCATGATAATGTCGAATTTTCACCGCATCCTCAAAGCCATCAGTAAAGATTACCACTGCCCCATTGCTTATTTGTAGGGGGATACACTTTGACCTTGGATTATGCAAACATCATCCGTATTCAGCCTCCAAACAACCAGAAAATCACACGCAACTCAGTGCATTCTCGATGCTATATCGGCCCAAACTTGTGGCCAAATTTACCGCCTACTGTAAGTTGAAATATTCTCAAGACCCCAAACATAGCCCATGTGTAAACAAACCATACATGGGTTCATGGACTGTTCCTATTTTAAACTCAGCCGTAAATCAAACAAGCTCTCATTGTAAACAGACTCCATGTGGTTACGAGGAACCATCCTGCAAGTGGATATTTAAAGATGTCATAAAATAGTACAGTAGATACACAGAGCAAGATATATATGTATGTATATAGACAGGCTGATAGACCATGGGACAAATGATTGTATAATCAGACGGACAAAGAGACATAGCAACTAATTTGTCATAAGATGGACGTGGATTGATAGACCCAAAGCTTCGACAGATCGATGGGTCGACGGACAGACTGATGGATAACTAGAAAGGCTAATCGGACAGACACACCAAACATCAGGCAGAGAGACAGGTAAAGCATTGGATAATCAATTAGACATGGCAACGATGTAGGAAGAAACCTTCCAAACTCCTAGACGATTGAACATTTATTAAAATGTCTCCAAGTGATGTCTCGTTCTGCCTCCGAGGACAAAGTGCGTTTAAATTGGACCGGGTTTCCCATTTTCACTTAAATTGGGAAAGACAGTAATTGTCTAAATGTCATCCACTCTCATAAACCTATACTTTATCACAGACACTGTTGAAATAACATCTGAAAATTGTCCTCGAATTAAAGTAGAACACATTCCAAAATTTAAGAAAAAAATCGAAATGTTGTGATGATTATGTGAATCTTAGTTGTTTCTATATGGTGACAAATGCAGTATTAAGTTATTATTGGAATGTTTACGAAACATTTAAATTCGATATTACCATCACACATACAGCGATGAGACGGAAGTGGCACAGTGGTTTCAGCACCGCACTACGAATGATATTACTCTTGAGTTTCATTGAGTGCCATCGATCATACAAATTGCATCTGACAATGTCTGAGTAACCACAGACTTAATGCTGGAAGGCAGCAGCCAAGCAGTGAGGCGACACTACCAACAACTTTGCAAGCTCTGCAGTCCTCTATGTATATTAAGATACTTTTGGCCAGTTAATGATTGTGAGAGGAAACCAGAACTCCCAGAGAGCCCACGCCTGCGAGGGGGTCACACTCTATCCCATACCGATGGGACAGATGTGAGGTTAGTCCACACTTGCTGTACCAGCTTCTCGTGGCGAGCCAGGGTATGGCACTTGGACACCCCTGGGAAGGGAGTTGGATAACGTCTGTGCGATCCACCAACCCCTACAGTGCGGGATTGCAGGCCACCCGCACGAACTCGGTGCCCTCAAGGCAATTCCTCGGCACGGCTCACCTGCAGCGCCAAGTGATGTCTGAAATGGTTTTAAATAATAATCTTTTTTTTTATTCTACCAGGCAAGGCTCAATAAGCTCTTTGGGGCTTTTTCAGAAGCGACCTGGCCACAAATGATAGCTCAACTTAGTGGCTTACCGCGTGGAAATGTACAGCAGCCAAATACTCTGCACCCCCCCCTCCCGCCAACTTCACCAATCAGCACTGACTAGGCCGGTGAAGTATGGTTAAACAACCCCCCCCCCATGACTGAAAATTGTGGCGAGGCTTTCATCCAGAAGTGGATAGAAACAGCCTGTAAATCGTCATTATTAAACTTCATTTGAAGCAATAGGGGCAAAGGTGCAGCCCTGCAATTACCTGCTCTCACCACTGATGACGGAAGGGCCTCCACTGGAGAAATCTCGAGACACCCTCTGGTGGATATTGTCCCTTTCCTTTCATGCTGGCCGGATGTCTTGGATGGACTGCGATTGCCCCCACGTCACCCCACTACACACGATTGACTGGCTGTGGTGAACCCATTTATACCGTCTGGGTGAACCCGAGGTTGGGGTGAGCGGTGTAGCCACCCACAGTGCACATTGGTGAACAAGAGCGCCGCGGCTCATTGGATTTCTCCGGTCTAAATAAAGATGCTTGATTCTGTAGTTAAGTAACTTGCCACGTTGTTGTAACTGGCATAGCGGATGGATTGCACTGGCAACCTCTGCATTGTCCGGCGTGCTATCCCATTACCCTCGATGGCAGCATCCCCATATACAGACGAAAAAGAAAAAAAGCTTCAGTCGAATTAAGTGAGCGAGGAAGCAGGAACGCCAGCGCTGTAACGAGGTGAGCGGGGGACGCTTTGAAATCAAAGCTCCAGTTCAGGGGGAGCTCCTCGTGGTGGCCACACGTGATTTACCGCTTCCATGGGGCGTCGATCGATGGGCAGGAAACGTTTCTCTCCTTACTTGCGGGGAGAAAATTTAGAACAGCGCAGAAAAAAATCAATGCGATGCAAAGCAAGTGATCACTGCTGTACAGTGCACGTGATGAGACAAATGCACTGACGGGGATAAAGAGAGAGCAAGGGGGTGCGATAAGTTATCGTCCACCCCTTG